ATGTCCACCTCAGCCGGATGCCAATCCCGCCGTACACGTCCCTCGCGTGCAGCGGCATTTGTACAGGAGCATGAGCGAACCTGAATCAAATCGACCAAAATCTCTGTACGGCATAGACTCTACCTGCTTTTGCTGTGGCGAAGCGGGGCCAAAGATAAAAATGCATTGAAGCCCAGGTAGAGGTGGTAGATTCAGGAAGAGCACGACGGCTGCATCTCTAGTATCCAAAGTGGGGTGGCGAGCCGCAGAATCGTGGGATGCCAGAGATTCCCAACAGGTACTTGGAGTGGGTCCAACAATGCCCAACATTTTTGATGTTGGTTTTCATGACCGCCTTTACAACTCACCAGGCTTTACAACTCACTGCGGCTCCGCCACTGTCATAATGTCGGGCTGTCACTGCAGTCCATCGTGCTTCCGGTGCCTGTGCTTCGCGCACCCTGAAGAGCTTACTTTGGAATCATTGGTTTCGAACAGTGATTGGCACACTTTCGGAAAGCACCAGTTATCGTAGGTGAGAGCCAATAGTGATCATTGAAAGCACCCGTGCACGGAGCAATTCGCGTCCCCGACATGGGGGCAAGGCGGGGCGAACCGACGTCTCGAGAGGTCTGGAAAACGCGAAGACGGGGAGGTCTGTTAGATGGCGTGGTGGGGCACAGAACTGGAAACTGGATCAGGACGAAGTTTCTCCCCTCACAACGGAATAGGGCTTTCTCCACTTTGTGGACGTTGGAAGCATGCTTTTCTTCGTGTTGCATGTTTTTGGAGGCATTGTTCAAGCTTTGAGGGTGTGAATCTCTATGGCACCAAGCAGGGATGATACGACTGCCGGAAGCCGCAACGAACCTGGAGGAGTCTGACAGTCGTGGCCAAGAACTTCACAGATTTGGCTGGGACCCTGACATCGGACATGGCGCTTGAATTGACTCAACTCAGGCTTCAGGTGCCCGAGCAATCTTGGTATGACACTCGTTTTTCTTGCTGATCTGAAAAAGGGACTACGGACTAGGTAACTTCTTATTCTTGGTACATGAGGTTCATGCGGGCTTTGGATCCCGTCACGGATCCGGACTCGTCGCCTTCTTTTCAGGCGACGTTGGCGTTCCTTTCGTATTGCCAAAGGTTGTGGTATGCCAGTCACGGAGGGTATCTGATGAACGGCTACACCAGGTCACATGGAACGACGGCACCCTTGGTGGTGCCGGGTGCGAGCTGTTGTTGTGAAACCAACCTAGACTCAACGTGGGAACGCGCGTTTCCAGCCGTGTTTCGCGTTCGCTGTGCGGCCCGAAGCTTTGAAATAGAGAGGCCATGCCCAGAAACAGGGAGGTGAGAATGAGATATGGGTTTCGCCACACGCAGCCAAGACCAACAAAAACATATATAGAAAAACATCCGCTTGAAGGATGGTAACATGCAAGATTTGCAACCATGCGGAATGACACTCCGTGCAGTCGCAGACCTAGACTCTAGACTCTAGACTGTCTAATGAAACCGGCAGATCACTCAGCTTCAGAAGTTTGACACAATCATGAAAGCCCAGCCGGGTGATGTTTGGCGATGTTTATAAACCCTTTGAATCTCGCCAGATTAAAATCCCAGCCCAGTTACTGCGCCCTGGGCGCCATGTGCCATGTGTGGATGGTTCGATGCCCCTGCCCAAGCACTTCGACAAGTTGAATGCCTTTGCCAAAGCGCGGGGGCCCAGCGGTGCCGGTGCACACAATCTTCACTGCTCCTGGCACCAGTACGAGGACAAGGGACGATGGCAGGTGAAAACGGTGCAAATGGTTTGGGATGCCGTGGGGCTTTCACTCCGCTGGGGTGTTGAGTGGATGGTGATGTCAAGGGCAAGATGGAACTGGCCGTCAGAGACGGATTTTTCTCATGAGTTTGTTTCGGAGGAGGATTCGCCAGGTAAGCGTCGCAAATGTCAAAGAATATTGCAGAAGTGTTGTTCGGAGCGGGTAAGCGGTAAGCGTTGTAATCTTTTCCCATACCCCCCCGCGGTTTAGGCATCGCCAACAACCTACACATGGAACCGCATATGGACACATCGGCGTTCGACTGATTGGCGCAGTGACTCGGATCCACGGGTGTTTTGTGATCTAATTTGCAGCGGGTTGTGGCCAGACGAGGCCATGGACATGACTCGCGGAAGCAACACACACTTAGGATAGGGTGTACTGAACTGAAAGCGGTGCCACACGCCAGCCTAGGTTACCATTTCCTAAGAGTACAGGTAGAAACCTAACGGAGGCTGGGGGTCTTCAAACGGAAATGGGGCCCAGGGCGCAAGCATCAAAGCGACGAGTGCGGAACGACAAGATGACGGCGGTCCGTGCACTAGCCCTTTACCAGAAGATTGGAGTGAAAGCTTGTCAACGCCATAACCAAGCAGGTACGTCGGAGTGATCAGCTCCGATATCCTCCCAACTCATGAGCAGCTTCGTTGGCAGTAGACTCATGAGTGGGCTACTGCCCCCTGCTCAACATGAAATCGGATTCAATGAAATCAAAGAACTACAATCCAAACGGATCCCTGTCACTACAAGGGGTACACACACACGCCTCCCCGAGGGGAGGCAAAAAAACTATAAAATAATTAAGGCTAGGACGAATGTGTAAATGTGCGTGCAGCAAAGACAAAAGGATGAAGACATGAGAAGGAAGACGAGGCGGGACAAAAGTGTGTGTGGCTGCGACGAAAGAGAAACCAAGTGCACAGGGACAACCGATGAAGCCCACCTCATTGTCGAAACCTGGGCGACCTGATACCTGCGTTAAAAGTAGATGTGCCCGTGCACACTAAGGCCCGGACCGTTGTATGCGCAAAAGAATGAAAGCAGTGAGATGAAAGGACATGAAGCAAGGGAAGGCATGAAAAGAAAGAGGAAAAGAAGTGTGTGAAGGGGAAAGGGTCAAAAGGGGAACCAAATGGAGGGGACGGGAACCGATGAAACCAGACCTCATTACAACAACCTAGGAAGACATGCCTCGTTTAAGTGTGTACGATGTGTGTGCACCTAAGAATCCGACAGACTCCAATGAGCCTAGACAGACTTGGGCCGCTATGGCCACGTACGCCGTGCCAAAATGGCTGCTCAGACCGCTGCGGTCACGTAAAGGCATGAACCATCTTGGAATGCAATAATTCGACAAGTCTTGGCAAATATATAACTTTGGCATAAGCCTCCTGCTGTCCGCTCCGGACACCTACGTCCCCGAAGCCGGGGAACATGGACTAACCCCCATTAGACGGGTCCACGGGAGGCACTCTTCGGGCTCATCCCGGGCTCCCACTAGGAGAGACACACTTAGGATAGGGTGTACTGAACTGAAAGCGGTGCCACACGCCAGCCTAGGTTACCATTTGCTAAGAGTACAGGTAGGAACCTAACGGAGGCTGGGGGTCGTCAAACGGAAACGAGGCCCAAGGCGCAAGAATCAAAGCGACGAGTGCGGAACGACAAGGTGACGGCGGTCCGTGCACTAGCCCTTTACCAGAAGATTGGAGTGAAAGCTTGTCAACGCCATAACCAAGCAGGTACGTCGGAGTGATCAGCTCCGATATCCTCCCAACTCATGAGCAGCTTCGTTGGCAGTAGACTCATGAGTGGGCTACTGCCCCCTGCTCAACATGAAGCCGGATTCAAAGAAATCAAAGAAATACAATCCAAACGGATCCCTGTGACTACAAGGGGTACACACACACACACACACTTGGAAAATAGCTTGCAAGAGCACAAATTGGTCCAGAAAGTGTGCCTTCCGGATATCACGACCGTACCATGACTGTTTTTGTTGGACAGTGAGTGATGGCTGTCCACTGCCTCCTGCGTTGTTGAATTAGTGGTCAAAACAAAACAAAAATTAAAAGACAGATTTGTTGTCCAAGAGTGTGAAAGTTGCAATCCCTTGGGGCCAGGGTTGACAGGCACAGAAAACCTTGATCTGGCGCACCCTTGACTGAACACCTAGTTAGTGGCCGAAGAGAGAGAAGACCAAGAAAGAGAAGAGCAAAACGCGAACGAAAGTACGAAAGTCAAAACCTCCGTTACGGTAGTAAGAGAGCGAGGCAAGAATAAGAGAAGAGAAACGGAATGAAGGAAGGGCATCGCATCACATCACATCACATCACATCACATCACATCACCTCGCCTCGCCTCGCCTCGCCTTCTCTCTCTCTCTCTCTCTTTCTCTCTCTTTCTCTCTTTTGCTCTCTTCTGAGCATGAGTGCCCAATGAACGGCAAATTTTGGGAGACCCTTCCTTACAATTGTCAAAAGCTTTAGCGGAAGTTGTCAGACAGCCGTGCTCCAGCGCAACTTGGTTAGTGACCTAAAAAGGCTTGCGGCTGATCCACAGGCTCAGCATTGATGCGTCAAGCAGAAGATACGGCTCTGAGTAGTGCTGCGCCTTAAGTGTCCGGTGTCACTCATATGACTAGACTAGCCGATCACTGCCTTTATGCAGTTCCCCTACAGTACTGTAGCAGCCATTGTGAGCACAGAGCCAGGCGGAAGGGAACCAAACGTACCTTCATCTAAATTCCAACAGGATGTATGGTCGTGTCGTCCTGTTGGCCGGTGCGCAGAATGGGGGTTCCCCTTCATCCATGCGGATTAGTAAGCGTTGACAGCCATGAGGGCCCTGCAAGCACCGGTGTCCAACTTATGAGGAATGTCGCCCGGCGCCCGTCGAACTGCTTCTGAATCGCTTCTGTTCGTTGTCAGTTACTTTGGCAGAGGAGGCCGTTGTGCGAGTCTGAAGCAGGATCGCTGCGGGATCGGGACCCCTAGTTCTAAGAGTCATCACCACAATTTGGCACTATATAGAAGCTAAGCACCACCAACTCTGGACCATGAAAGGGGGATGCTTTGAGACCTGCCAGTGCCGGGCATCGCTGGGCGACCCCGCCGCACCCAGGTGGGCAATGTCCCTGCCGCTCGGGAGGTCTTCGATGAGCTGCAATGTGTCCCTGCACGGTTCCAAACCATGGCTTGGAACACCATGCTCAAGGCAGATGTGCAAACTTTGATGTTTGGGTTTGAAAGTTTCATGTGAGGAAGGGGGCCCAAAAAGGTCTATGGGATTCACGGGGCAGAAAAAAAAAACTCAAACCTAGGGGTGGTTGGACCAAACTTGGATCGTTGCTTTCTTCGGAAGTCGTTTAAAGAATCATGATCGATGCTTTTGCCAACAGTGGCCCAGCTTTTGTAATTTTGCCCGTTCAGGCTCATGCCATCGCTGGTGATATGGATGGGGCTGCCACACACTTTGCCGCCATGAACTTATTTTTGCAGATTTCTTTTGCAAGCACTCCTGGTGAATTTGCCACCACGATTGGCAAGGCGTGCATTTATACAGTTGATCAGCAAGTTCAAGTTGCACCATGGTCCAAGGAGATGCAACTTCAGCGAGTACCTGTGAACACCCGGACCTTTGGCAAGTTGATCAGGCGCCCATGACATTTGCTGTGACAATTGTGGTGAAATTTGGACGAAAATGGCCGTGGCTCCAACTCGATGCAATTGAGTCCGTTTCCACGGCCTCGAGCCGATTGGATGGTATGTCCAGGTGTCCAGGGATATAGTATTTTGCAAATGCCATGTCACAAGCAAGAAGCCCTGAGGGCCCTGGGGTGTTGATCTTCAGCTTGAGCGATCATGTATACCTTCTTAGCTTTTCGTGTGAAAAAGAGCCCGAACAGCACTTCGAGGTTGGGGAAGGCTGAAGTGGCAATCAAGAACAGACACAGTCCGTGACATGGTTCGCTGGGCGACTGGAGGTGTGCCGCAGAGGCAGGGCAACCAGAGCAAGCTGTGCGGTTCTTGCGGGAGCACCAGCAGCATGGACGGAAGTTGGGTGTGGTGGGAAGTGCCTACTTCATGGCTGCAGGTTTCTTGAGGAGCTTTCACCAACTCTTGGGAGTCTTGGGCCCTTAGATTCTTCATATCGAAATTTCATTTTTGACCATACTTGCATTCAACCTTGGCATACAGGACTTGCTTCTGACCTGGTCAGCCAAACTTCCGTGGTGGACGCCTTTGCCAAGGCAAGGATGAAGCTGCAGGATTGGAGAGTCCAAAACCTCAAGAGTGGTGTTCCCAGCTGGGATATCACACCAGCTGCAGAAGCCAAAGGTTGCGGGGCTTTTAGAGTTCAGTCCCTGGCAGGCTGGGTGTCCAGAAGAGGCTGAGACCTGGCTTGAGGCCTTGGAAGGCGCAGCCTGATTGATGGAAATCAATCCCACAGCGTTGACACCCCACACTCCCTCCCTCCCTCCCTCCCCTTCCCTTTTTCTCTCCCGCTGCTCTTTTGCATCACTCTCTTTTGCTGTTTGTCAGTTTCAATGCCTGCTTATTGGCAGAGCTGCTTGTTTCTTTGCCTGCCTGCCTCCCTGCCTGCCTTTCTGTTACTGTTAATGTTTGTCTATATGTATATATATATATATATGTAATATTTATATCTGTCTATGTCAGTGTTTGTCTGCCTGTGCTTCCTTCCTTCCTTTCCTTCCTTTCTTCTTTCCAGGGTGGTTGGCTGATTGAAGTTTTTTCCCTGTGCTCACGAAGTTTCAAAAGATGCAGGCTTGGGAGAGGATGAGGTGGCTCTTGGCCTGCTCGCCGCGGGCTACGCGCGCTTGGGGAAGGGTTTCGAGACTCGGAGGTGTTTGGAAAGGCTGCTAGCTGCAGGCGGCCGTGCGCCGGTCTCGAAGAGTTGAGCCTTTAAACTCTCTTGAGCCTCCCCTAGGCCTGGACTTTTGATCAGCCCCCAGGGCCCCCAGAACACCTTGAAGAGGACTTAGATGCGTGTTGGGCTTCCAAGAGCGCAGTGGCCCCACCTCTTACAACATTTCTCAGAAGGGCTTCATCGTGCCAAAGGATCACTGCGTGTAGTAGCTTCTTGGCTCCTAGTAGTAAGGCCAGGAGCCCCTAGTTGCATCCTTGTTCCTAGTAGCGATGCCCTTTGCTCCAGTAGCGTCCTCTAACCTGATGTTGGCAACCGGCCTGTGTGTAGCTTTGAATGACACTTTGGTTCTGTTCCATTGCTTGCTGCTTGCCGGGCGGCCGAGCGGCTCCAGGTGCCAAGCCCACCAGCGAGACTTGGGGCCTACAAGCTTCTGCCTGGGCACGGCAGGGGGAGACCGCCCGGGCAGCTCACTGGCTTCAAGAGGCCGCCGGGTTCCCCCAAAAGAGGCTTCTTCATGAGCATGGCATCACAACGCAAGGAGCCTTCCAAGCAATGAGTTCTTTTGGAGTCCATCAATCTCGGAGTTTGGGCCGGTCCAATTCTTGGTCAAACCATGTCACACCGCCACGCTCACAACCTCAGATGGTGGAGATGAAGTTGCAGCCCTCCAGCAGCACCTTGGCGGTTCTGCTGAGCGCGTGTGCAAAGAGCCAAGACTCCCAGAGTGCTGCACCCCGGCGAAGTGAGCGACCGAGTTGGTGTTGGTGACCGAACGTGTGGGACGACTGGGTTGCCGAGCCCAAGGCCCGGATTCAAAGCTTATGTCCACAAGGAGGGGGGTCCAACAAGAAACTCATCATTCTGAGCCTCACTCCAGATGAACTCTGGGCTGCACTGAGGAAGTCTTGCTTTGAAGTTGTCCACTTGTGGCAGTCTTGACGTTTGGCCGGAACCAACTTTAGAGCATGGCACTCTGTTCTGGATGGTTGGCAAGTTGTTGAAGGGTGAAGCTTGCAGGCCTCCAGACAGAATGGCCCTCATGAAGGGACCCTCCACTCTCGGCTCCTGCTTCTTTTCGCAGGAGCTGAGATGGCTGACGGCAACGATGGTGACCGCGCCCACCCAGGCCATGTCTACAATGCTGCACTGCAGTCTGCCTCACACAGCGGTGAGGCGGGGGAGTGGGAGTCGCGAGCCGCGCATGGCCCCAATTCGCCAATGACATTGGGAGCTATATATATATATTATCTAGTCACTTGAAGTGACCGTGCTGACTAAGGCCGAAGTGAAGCTCAAGGAGATGTCGGATGCGAAGCTAAAGCCGAACTTGCTCACCTACAACTCACTGAAGCTTGGTGTTGGTCAGGGCGTTGTAGTGGTCCTAGTGTAGTCGACTTTAGGTAGAGAGAGCGAAGAAAGTTCCAGACATTTCTTGAATGTGTGCTTGTGTGATGTCAGTGCCTTGACCTTGTGCCGTGTTTGCTCAGGGGAGCGTGAACAGCTCTCTGGACATCCAAGATTGATCAACAAAAACTAGGAATCCCGTAGGGAACAGGTGTGAGGGCGCTTTGCCATGGCTGACGGTGAAGGCGCTGCCAAAGGCGTAGAGGCCCGTACATTATGGACGCTCAACAGGCTGATTGTGCTGTTGGGCATCAGGCCAGAGAAGGCGGACAAGTTCGTAAGTGGTTTCACCAGTGAGGAGGCCTCCGCCAGGGCGATTGCTCGCTTTATGGACGACCCGGAATGCCCTGCATGCTACTTTGCGCCCACCAGCGAGTCGGTGTCATGCACCATAGACCTTCCTTCAGCTCAGCAGATGAGAAAGAAGGTTGTAGCCATGCACAGGGCCAGTCCAGAAGTCCAAATTTCAAAGGAAAATTTGGCAGAATCCGTCATTCTCATGGAGATGACCAAGAATGTCATGGACCTGCTGAACATGTACTGTCAGTCAGTGTACCTCTCCACACTCACCAACCCTGCCAACCAGGCTGGTTGGTCAGACCTGATAGCCAAGGACCTCATGGACAAGTACCACGTCTTCCTGGCAAGCTTGCATGTGACTGTTGGCTTGATGAAGGGACACACATGGTTGCCCCACCCTCCACGAGATGCCTTGCCAACAAGTGGAGGAATGGCCGCTGCCGGAGGGGGTGCAGGCTCATCAGGAGGAAAAGACAAGGTCCACGTACTCGAGGGAGCGGTGATTACATGGACAAAGCAGATCCGTCATGTCTTGAAACAGGATCCTGAAGTGCTTCTCAAGGATGGCAAGAATCCTGAACCAAGTGCCGAGCTAAAATTCTGGCGAAGTAAGGCTGCAAACTTGAATTCCATCCACTCACAGCTAGGCATGGATGCGCTCAAGAAGGTCCTGAAGTTCCTTGAAACCAACAAGAGTACTTACACCGCACCCTTCTCTAAGCTTCAGAAGGAGGTGGAAGAAGCTCGAGAGGAGGCTAACGACAACGTGAAGTTCCTCAGATTAATGTCGGTGGCATACGTATACAGCTCTCCGGAAATTGTCTACGCAACAAACACGAAAGTGGAGCAAGCTAATTTGTGCGGAGAGTAGCTTTCTGCAGGGGCCTTGTCCTTGTTGGAGGGAGGGTAGGAGCTCCAACTCTCAACCGCTTCGGGCTCGTTCACTAAGGTTCCTCGCAAGCCTCACCAAGTCCATCGACAAGCTTACGAGCGACAGCGCTGACTTTGAGCAGCTAGAGCCATTGTTTGAGCCCATCCTTCACAACATCCTGCTCATTTGGCGCTACTCCAAATTCTACACCACACCAACCCGCCTGGCTGTACCTGGGATAAGGAGGTATATAATATAGTACGTTGTTGTTTTGAAGAGCAATCTTCAAGGGCTTTCAGTGAGACCAAACAAGGTTCTGATCCGGGAGATTTGCAACTCCATCATTGCGCAGGCGGTTCGGTACATCAATGGCAGCGACATTTTCACCATGATCTCATCAGAAGAGACGGTGGAGTGCTATGCCAAGCTGGAGAACACATATCGCATTTGCACAGCTTTTAAGGCCGGGGCCATGGACATGCTTGTGCGAGGCATAGTGCTGGCCCAAATAAGGGTCGCAGCCACTTGTACTCGAGCCTATTCACAGATTCACTTAAGGCAAAAGAAGCTCTCAAGTTCAGCTCACTTGGCAGGACTGCTATTTGCTCTTCCGTGACATCGCAGCCAACCAAGATGGGACAGGTTGGAAGATGAAGAATGATGCTTTGTTTGTCCGGCTTGACTCGTTCCGGGACCGATGCCGGGATGCTTTGGACTTTACCCGCACGGTGATCCAATTCTCCAAGCTGGAGCGCGTGGAGATCGGCGGAACCAAGGGCAAGGCTGCCGGGTCGAACTCATGACTTTTCGTCCATTCAGCCCACTACAAAAGACTGCAGTGACCTCCAGTTTCTAGTAGCAGGCCGCTAAACTGGGAGAGAGGTGAGAGGAGAGAGTCATGGCCATTGCTTCTGCCAGAGTCGCTCAGGTTCTCTCAGACTGCGTGGTGGCCATCAGGGAGGAGTTCATGAAATGTGTAGAGACTTTCAAGAGCGTCTCCTATGATATCATGGACGTGGGTGAGAGTCAATTCGAACATGATTACTTCCAGTTCCGCATGACTGTGAAGGACTTAGACAGACGACTGGGCAGCCTTCTCGCAGGTGCCTTTGATGACTTGGACACAATTCCCATGCGCATCAAGCTCTTTGATATCTTTGAGGGCTTGTTGGAGCGTCCCATCATCCAAGCAGAGCTTGAGAAGAAGCACAAGATGTTGCTGCACCAAGTGGAGCAAGACCTCACTTCAGTTGAGACGGGCTTTGTTGAAGCAAAGGACAAGGTTGATCAGTGCTTCGACGATGCGCCCATTTTTTCCAACCTGCCTCCCGCAGCAGGCGCGATCTACTGGGCGCGCTGTTCTCGGCATCGAATCAACGATCCAATGAACAAGTTGGCCTTTTACAACCTCGCCTTGAGGGAAACACCAGAAGAGTTCCGAGAAGTCAAAAAGCAGCACCAGACTCTTGACAAGATGCTCCAGGATTATGAGCTTCAACGATACCAGACTTGGGAGCAGACCTCAGTGGAAGCAGCCAAAGAAAAGCTGAAGATGAGGCTCCTGCGAAGGCAAGAGAAATCTGGCCTGCTGAAAGTCAACTTCGACCCTGCCCTTGTTAGACTACTTCGTGAGGTACGCTTCTTCTTGATCTTCGACATCGAAGTGCCTCCTGCAGCTTTGGAGATGTTCAGTCGAGTTGCTACGTACCGGCAATGGGTTGCCCAGTTGGATCACATCGTGGGCATGTACAATGCAGTTCTGACAGAGCTTCTGCCAGTGGAGGAGCCCTTGCTAGAGGACCGCATTGCAAAGATGGATCAGGTGTTGTCACCTGGCCTGACTGAACTCAAATGGAAGAGTGAAGACAAAATCCCAGAGTTCATTGAGAACACAATGCGCGTGGTCAGTGACGTGTCTGGCGTAGTGGAGATCATGAAGGGTGACTTGGCACAGAACCCTAACAGTTCTTTCCCCTCCAGCCCTTAGATTGTGCATTTGTTTCCTGTAATCCTTATCACTGTCTGCACATTCAGAAAGCGCGTTGTAGCAGCAACTAGGCAACTTGCGCTCCATCTCCGGTATCCTCTCCCAGTGGTGCAAGGAGCCGATCATTTCACGTGCCAAAGGCTCCAAGCCAATGGCGCTGGATGAGTTTGACCTGAAGCACAAAGAGCGTGTCGGCATGCGCACCTTAGCTAGAAGGAGTCACTGTGCTTTGCCAGTCAAAATTGAGCAGACATGGGAATCGGCGGATCCTCCCTCAAAGGGTCAAGCAAGCTCATTTTTTGCAAGCATGCGTTTGGGGCATGGGCCATGTGACACGTGTGTTAGTGCGATGTCATTCAGTGCGAATCAATCCGCAACACGAATCTCTGACGGTCGAGCCAACCCAGCGTCTGCGGTCCTTCGAGGGCTTCGGTGTTTGTCTGAGGCATGATGACTCAGTCTGAGGGCGGCAAAGAGATACACAAGTTCGTCAAGGATTCCTCTGAGGCCTTGAAAGTGTCGAAGGTGGCATCCAATTGGAAAGCCTACGTGGACTTTGTGCCTTGCACTGGACTTTTTGCGTTTTATTGATGAAACATATTCTTCTCAGCCATTCCAGCACAGGTTTTGTGTAGGTGTGTGCTCCTTTGCACCGGACTCATCAGTTTGCTGGCGTTCCGCCGAGTTCGATCTACACATGTTCAGCAGTGAGACAACTCTTTCCACACCACCGCGTACGCGATTCAATTCTTTCCACACTCGGTGCTAGGTGTTTTGACCACAATCAAACGCCTAAACTCTGAGAGCGCTTCTGTGTTCGGATGATGGCAGGCATGTGCATTCTCAGTCGTGCAAATCTGATGTATGTTTATGCACACGCTGGTATGTATGGGTGTGTTTGTGCGGGAGTCACAAAACTCTTATTGGCCTTGAGAAAAGTGCCCCAAGCAAGAGCCACTAGCTTGTGGTTTCTTGGATGAAATGGCCAGCGGCAGAACTTCTTCAAACTTTCTGCCTGTCGCCGTGCCGTTTGGTGGGGCACGTCACGAAAGTCCCGACACGAAGCAGTTGGGTTTGAGATGGTTTGAGGTTGTAAGTTCTGTTTGAGGGGGAGGGAAGCAGTTGCGATGATGTAAGGGATGTCGGACCATCGGATGTCTCTTGCTACTTTCTCTCGGGTCTGGTGCAAGATTGCTTTAAACAAGATCTCGCAAACTGGGCGCTGCTGAGCTTCAACAGGATTCCCAGTCTATTTGTAATGTAGGTAGATGGCTTTCGCGATGCCAGGCCCTTGCTCACCATTCCTGCAATGAGAGGCTGTCCTAGTAAGATTCTGACTGAGTGGGTAGGTTTGGATGGTACGTGTGGTTTAGGTTTAGGTATCCGTGGCTGTCTGCACACCGCGCATATGAAACATGCTGGCCCAAGCATCTCACTCATTTCCTATGTAGATGTACGACCCTTTTGAGCTTTTGACATGTCCGATGCCACGCAGCCCGGAGCCCGTGCACCAATGCAGCCTGATCAGGTCAACAACATTGTCATCGAGGGCTTTGTCTCATCCATCGCAG